CCTAAATATACTCCCCAACAATAGTTTATTGGATCGTTAAGGCTACATGTACGTAACTAAACATAGTATCCCGGACACCTGAGTGCCAACCCTTATTTAAGGACCTTCATGCGACACGCAACGTTTGTTACCCACACCAAGAAGAGATAAATCACACGCGAGATGTAACAAATGTAGATATCTTAGTTTCTTACACCTTGATACTCCCTCTGGGATTTCGTAATCACGAACTCTGCCTATCTTAGGTAGATATACATAAATCCACGCGCTTTGTAACATTAATGTTACTTTAGTTTCAGATAAATACTGTGGCTGAAATCTTAAAAGTAAGACAAGTAATTACAAATTAAATAAAAATGTAACAGAAGTCATCGAAAGCTTTTATGTTTTAAATGAGCACAAAACGATGTCATTACGGTCTCTTTGAAATCTGTAATCTTAATTGCCATATTGAAGATAATTTAGACTATCATTATTGGGAATGAAGTCATGTCCCATGCCACAATTCGAGTGTCTAAATTGTCACTGAGTTTTTATAGCTATGATAAAAATATGAACATTTATTCCTATGGGATAGTGTGGGAAAGTTCGTTATAAATAAATAACTTGATTCATTTAAATCATGGTCTCATCTTATTAAGTCGCCAAATTTTACACTATTATTAATGTTCAAAGAAAATTTTATTTTTATTACTGACTATAAAGCAAAATAAAAGTGTCTACTATAAGCAAAATAATCCACAATCGTAAAGGCCAACTTAAGATTTTATTTCAATACTTTTAAGTTAATATCAATTACATTTCAAATCGGATTGTTTACTGAAAAACTTTGTGTATATGTAAGGATTCCTAAATCATTGGATATCTTATTCTGGTTAATCAATTCTTTTCTTCATATAACCTTGTTGGTAAAATGGATCGAGTTTGAATGTACCGTAAACAGAAATATACTTACCTGTATCTAACAATAAAATGAGAACCTTTTTGAGTCAACTAGGCCCGCCAAATTATTTTGTCAAATATACAATATATCACGAAAAATATATAATATAATATTACAATATTACACAATACCCAAGTCTTTCATATATTAACCTTACACTATAAGTAAGTATATTGCGTTTATCTTTAAAACACATGTCGTCTATACCCTTTTAACTAGCCATCTCACTAATAGTGTATATTACACCGATATCACTCCCGAACATGATTTTCTTGTTGTTTTAGGACAACGTCAACAAGATTCTACATACATATAAATTAATTACAAACAGAAGCACAACTTATGCACATTCATTAAATATATATATGTATAAATAGAAAGGTAATATGGATCTTATTAAATGATTGTCCATAATATTTTTAACCACATATAAATGTACAGAATAAACTAAACTACTTAGAATGAATTCAATTCAGAAATAAAGAAGAGTAAGATTTTAGAAAAAGAGAAATCATTTATAAATATTTATATATAGATTATGCAAATGCTTTAAGTATTTCTTTTATTATCTAATTACGACATGAGATGTAGTATATGTACATAAAAGAAAAAGAAACTTGCATGAATAACTAGAATATATATAATAGTTAAAAGTTAAAATCCTAAATCACAATGGATCTAATGTATTGATTGATTAAACATCGGATGTGACGTGTTTGTATGTCGACTGTTGCCAAGGTTAAGTTAAACACACAAGTTGCTCAGCTGACACACACTTTCAGCAAACTGTGTTCCGAGTTAATCGAATCTACCTATAACTTAGTTGGCGTGTCGTAAATACGGTCCACTTTATTATCTCTACGTGATTTAACAACCTCGTCTACTTGAACGTTACTTACAATCTGCCATATGTTCTGATACTTGATCGAAAATAGATATAGATTGTCGCCACTTGATAAATAATAATTTAATTATCTGTATGTAATAATTATATATGAATAAAACAAATTATTTTATATGATATTTATACATACTAAATGTACAGAATTGTCTTTTCAATTACTTTTACCGTATTTTATGCCATTGAACAACTAAATTTTTAAAATATCTGACAACCAAGACAGTTTCTTATTCTTCATAACTGATATTATATGAATATATATAATTCATTGCACTTTCATCTTCTAAGGAACTTATTATTCTGTATATCAGGGATGGAACTCTTATAATCATCTTAAAACAAGCACCTCTCGCTACTCGCTAGTAGTTTTCATTTCAACACTCAAAGCAAATAAAAGAGGTTGTGAACTAGGGGAAAAGATTTTATAACGTCTAAAAGCTTTAATCGTTTCACTAGATGAATCTTGAATAACTTATATTCGAAAAAAAATACTTTTGATCTCTATCTATTCAATTTTTATCTCTTATCTTTAATCTTTCATCTCATTGAATGGTATAATATTTTCTCGACAAGTGCGGCTGCAAAAATTTCAAAAGTTATTAACTTATCAAATTAGATACGAAACCCTTTTAACTTTTTATAATTTGTTAGATATATGTATATAACTTTTATTATTCTCTCTAGAAGCACTATATATACCATGAGGTCAGTATTTTTAGGATATAATTGAATAACACGAGTGAAAATCATGCCAGCCGCAATGGCGTATACAACATGATATGACAGCGCATATAGAGGGAGTTTTATAAAACTTTATGCATTTGACTGGCCTCTGTCAGTCGTTGGTTTAATTGAATTGCTCGTCAAATTGGTGATATAAGAGAGACGAATCGCAAGTTGCCCGTGGCGATTTGAAACACACCCAATTTATCTTTTATACATACTCGTATTGAAAGACAATAATTTAAATGGTCTGCATTTTATTCATAGTTTGTAATGCTAAAAACTACAGATGAAACATATTTTTTCAACATTAAAACTCTTTAAGCACTACTTTAAAGTAAAAAATAAAATTGATTTCATACTGTAATAAACACTTAGAAATATTAAAATATTAGTCCCAGGAGTTGGTAAGTATCCAGTGTGAGGAAGAGAAAGTTATAGTTGGTGTTGTTTTCCCAAAGGATCGCTACTGGATCGCTAGTCTGCTAAGTTGAAGTGAACCCGATCATCAACTTTAACGACCTGTGAAGTTCCGACATTATGGTCACTAGCTTTACTAATATTTCGAATACTGCAGCTCAAATTTTATCTTGATACATACTTTATCTTAAAGCATAGAATTAGTTAAAAGTCCGGACGAAACTTTTTTCCTTTAACCTAGAAAAAATTTACGTATGTTCATTGTTCATCCTTCAAAAAGTTTTTCATTTATCATATAAACTAGTTTCAATATTTTGAATGAAACCAACAAATTTCATGAACCTTATATATATCTTGAATGAATCATATTTAATACGGCTTACAATAAACCAGTTTCCAATATCTACTAATTACTAACGCAACCGACAGTTCTAGATCACAGTAAATGTAAGTCCGTCAGAATTTATGATATCTTGTAACTAAGCAAAGAAGACTTGTGAAATATAATACTGAAATAAACATAAAACACATTTGACTTGACTTTTTATAACTCAGCAAATAAGTCATTGTGGGGCTCCAGTTTATTCCCCATGATAATGCCGCCATAAAAGAAACTGTGAGAACCATTTATTGAAATAAAAATAAAACATTCTGACGGTTATTCTTAGAAATTTTTTTGTTCTGTTGAAAAGTAACATTTATTTATGAAAAATAATTTGGAAATACTTGAGAAACATTAACGTATATGACGCTATGATTTTATTATTTGGCAAAATGGTTAGACGAAGTTCAGTTTAAAATAAAATATTTATAAATCTATTAAGATATCATTAAACACTGTGTTCCATTAATATTTTTTAAATCTGAAGGTAAAATTTGACGTATATATTTTTGTTCAGTTCAAGCAAAACATTTTTTTATATTTTAAAAGACGTCAAAGAGACCGATGTTTAAAATTGCTATCAAAACTTAAAGCTCGCTCCGAATATCACAGAAACTAATACATAGCGGTGTAGATACAACCTAGTTCAAAACACGTTGAACTTTCTTGTGACATGGGGATAACAAATTTAATATTTCTGTTCTATGTGTGTATAACTTGGAAGTTGGGAACGTTTTGTAGCTACAATTATTACAGCATTAATCCGAATGACATTTGAATATATTAAAGTTGTTCTAACTATGTTCGCATGAATAAAATATTCAACCTGACATTTATTTCTTAATAAGGATAAATTTAAAGCTTTTTGCATGTGAATATATGTAGTATATCAATCAATCATGGTTATTGTTGAGTCACTGTATACTTAGTCGTTGGTGACTTCATTAAATACGTTACATTTACATATGTTACTATAACAACGCCTCCTAATTTAATTCTAATAGTTTTTTGAATTTTACTAAAGTTAAAATAATTTATTGTGATTACATTCGTTTTATATTAAGAATATTTATTCTTGGAATATTGTGTTTAATTATAGTGATAGACACAAACCAATTCATTAATTTGACAATGCCACAAATGTATCAGAAACTAAATATACAAGTTGACTAAATCTCATAATATTCGTTTTAAACTATTAATTAGTAAGGCCTTAAACAAATCGTTTAAGATAGATCCTACATAGCCAGCCCAGATCGCAATCAGTTTCTGTCATGGCGTCCGTTGACTGACGCTCCGCCCTGTGACTAATTGCTGCCTACTTGTTTACGCAATAAATTTAACATCTCACAATTTATATTGAAAATTTATAATTTAGGTTTATATTAAACCATAATAGCATCATTATTTTACACCTTAAAATAAATATTTATTCAACGTACGTGATACATAATGTTTAATATTGAATACACAATTACAAATGTTTTACAATATAAAATTTAAGTTTTGATGCTCGCTACGTTGTAAAATTGGGGTGACACATCTGAACGACAGCGACGATTTTATTACTTTATCGTTCTGTTCGACTGTTAACTGCCAACATCAGTCAATAAAAAGTTAACAACAATTTATTAGGGCTCACCTTTTATCGCCGCTTCGATGATATCAATGTTCCGTAGTGTCAACAAAACCGGATCGATTACCAAATTAAGTCTAAGAGTTTGTCGATATTTACTACACTTAGTGAGAAATATAGCATATGTTCTAACACGTAACGTCGAGCATTTCAATGATTTTAAGCTCCGCACAGAAATCGTTGTGTCAATAAAACTCACCGAATTAATAGTTTTATATTTCACATTCGCACTAATATCATTAATATTACCTTTCATCACTCTACTTATATTCACTGAGTATGTTCTTGAAGTGTTTCCAAAACTGACATTGTTCACTTTACCCGTAAATATGTATTGTGATCTAAGGGTAGCATTCTTTAATAAAACCTTGTCGTAGTAGACATTCGTGTTACAGCCAGATGTCCGCCGGTGACGTCTGTTGGATGTGCCCCCAGGATTCCATAATTGCAAGTCCATATTAACGGTATACATAGAAAGCAGAAGCAATAACAATTTGGCCCACATTTTATTTCAATTCAAATGAAAAATAGCACCATACAATTTGCTTCGAAGAGACAAACATGCAATATAAAATCCGATTCTTGATCCGTTTTGTCTCGCATTGATATTGATCATGTAATAGTGTAAGGAGCGTGCGCACGGGCGCAGACCACGCTGCAGGCTGTCGCGCCACGCAGGCTCTCACCCACTCACCATAGATCGTTCACCTACCCTATATATTTACATACTGATTGGTACTGCAACAAATAACACTAAACACCTGGCATACAACTTGATCATCCGATCAAGTTATAAATTGTAGTATTATGCTGATACACCGCTTATAAAATACCTCAGTAATGTCTCAAATCCGTTGAACCACTGGCTTTCTATCCAATTAATTGTAATTCAATTACTAAAATGAGTAAATATTTATTTGTAAATATTCTCTTAATTTATAATACATCTTGAAACTGAATGTCAACTTAAATGAAGATCATTCTACATTATTAATGTCCACGTTAAGTAGAACTTCTTGTTGTAGATGAAGCAAAAAATTATCGCGATGTAAAGAGGAGTCATCAAAAATCAATTTGCTGTTTGCCTTTTGAGACGTTTTCGCCGCCCTTTTTTACCGCGAAACAAATCTCTCCAGTAATATAATTTGCACGTTCCAGTCCATACCTAACTCAGCAATAATTTTTAATCTAAACAAAAACAATCCTTTTAACAACTCAGACCCGAATCGCACGTGAGGGTCATTAAATTAAAATTCATGCGTACAAAGGCGCTCTAGTGGAGTTGCAATTAATATGAAAATCTCTGGACAATATTTATGACACTGACAGAGGCGAAATTATACCGGACTTTAATATTTACTGACGGCCCGTATTTTACACGGCGAGGGGATTACGTGCGAAATATAAACGTAAGCTGCGTTATCCAAATTTAATAGTCGCTATTTGACACTTGATCATTCGCGTTCCATGGAACGACACATTTCGAACGCAGTAATGCTCATCGTTTATTTTATCTGACAGTCAATACGTATCTATAATACATTAAAACTTATTCCTATTTCTATACTATTTTATAGTGGCTAGTTATACATAGGTATAATTCTAATATTTTCGCTAGGTTCCTACCAAATTTGTTATGCATCAGTGAAATTAATCCGAAGTCATATTACATTCCGTTGATGCATTGCAAACGAGGGATCCAACAGTAGATATCCCTCGAATCACACATAGGGGATAATTTTCAACATGTTCTCAACGATTACTTTCACAAATGTCAGCGCTGCATCCGCTTGATGTATTAGGGTAAATGTTTATGTTTTCAAATATTCTGCGCTTCCAAATAACAACCCGTGAATAAAACACAATAGGCTGCAGTCGCGTGTATTATAATTCTACAGAAAACCTTCTAAATAATTGTGCATCTTCCGCGCTAATTCTCTGTCAAGAGAGAAATCTATGAGATCGTTCTCGTGGCGTGGCGATGAGAGATTGCTCGCCTTTGCGCCTGTTGCGCCACTTCAGACACAATTAGTATTTTATTGCTACCGATGCATAAATTATAATAGTCGTGACTAGTGGCTGATCTGCAATATACCAAGAGCTGGGGCTATTATGAAGACTTATTTTCACTCAAAGAGACGTTAATATTTTAAGAATTGAAACGACTTCAGGAATAATATCATAAATGAATAACTTTCAATGACTTTATATTTCTTTACTTCTGAGTCATATTTGCTTCATAAATAATTATTTTGTATGATTATGGTTGCTTTCTTAACTACTGAAATTAAAAGATTTATTTTATTTTTAAAAATATACAATAAATATAGATAAGAATTTTCGATCCATTATGATTTTTATATTACATATTTCACGTACAAATTGGACGTAGAATTTGAGAGTTCAATATTTTTATGTATGAAGATTGCAGAACATTACTGTTCTACAGTTATCTATTACTTTGCGTGCCTCTTTACAGTAACCCGACCCTGTGTTCATACTGAAAGGGTTATCAGAACAAAATATACAGACTTTTGATAAGAAGGTCACTTTAACTATTTCATATTAAACACATAAATGTCATAACACTGAAATATTGATTTAAATTAAAAGGTCACTATAGTTGAATTAAAAAAGGAACGAAATTCATTAACTACCGTTGTATTTAATTTCCCTGTTGTTCTTAGATTGCGTCTCTGTTAAGTCTAGTGGACACTGGAGAGTTGTTTTTAAGTTAAAATATAAATAAAAAGAATTCTTTTATGGAAATATAAGTTTACCGTTTAACATAAGGAGTGTTGTAGATTCGTTGTCTACCTTGATTTTGGAAGAGTCACCTGAACAATTGTTTTTTGAAAGACCCCATGATATCATTGATAATGAATAATGATAATGTAAAAATGGAAAACTAAAATGAGGAAAATTTTTCTAATGTCTTAAATGCTAAAAATATGAGACGCAATGAGATTTTAAAGCTTTATAACTCAAAAATAAAACATCTAAAGGTATATCGTAAATATGTTCTCGCACAGAAAATTATATGTATAGATTTTATTTAATTGTGATTTGATAAATCAAAATTATTAAAACGCAACTATTATACGAGTTCGTTCGTTAAAGATACACCCTCTCAGAAAAAATCCTAGCAATTATAATTGTTGAGTGCGCAGGGAGGGGCAGTAACCCTAACTTACCACGGGGAATGGTTTGTTTCAATGAAGGAGGCTTTATTATAACTGTGGCTCACAACCACTTAAAGGTGCACCATCTGTTATTTTATTATAAAAAGGAAAAACACAATCAAACATCGTGTATAGAAATGGTGGCAATTTTTTTTTTTTTATAGTATGTCAATATTCTTTTTATTTAAAATAATATCTAAAAGAAGAAAATAATTGAGAGCAACACCATCTTGGAACAAAAAATATCCTTAAATTGATTGAAATTTATCTAACACCATGTCAAAAACCTTACAGTAAAATGAAAGTGTGTCAAAAGCTTTGTCGTCTCCAAAAGGATTTCATTTCCTGTTTATCGGAAGTATCACGCTAGTTAATTAGTCTGGAGACGGATTTGTACGTAAATGTTTAAGTTAATTCACAGAATCTAATCACTGAATGCCTGTAGGCACGTACATAAGGACAGGCATGCGTGAAAACAAGCCTGTGAGAGTGCAGCTTCAAGTACCAAGCTGGAGTCACAGTAATTAAACATTCCACAGCCTCTCTTCATATTAACAAGTTTGAAAATTCTAACAATGTACTGGGTGTTTAAGACAACTTTGTGATGTAAACAACATTAATCTGGCAAATAAAGACTGACTATTTGTACTAACGTCTACGTATTGAATATAAATACATTCCACGTGTATTTATAGACATCATAGCAAAAGACTTATGATATTTATGTTGATGTATGTATTAAAAAAAATAGAATAGAGTTGTTAGTTGGTAATATTTAATTGATGCTTCAATTAGTTTTTTAGTTCTTACATATTAAATCTTGAAGGGTAGGTTAGGTTAGGTACTGTTAATATTTTTTTCCATATTAAAAGTAGCTGAAAACTTGCAACATATTGTTTAATACTTTGTAAAAATTTATATATTATTTTTAATTCGATATAACTTCAAAAACTAATTTAAATTTTTCAGTAGGTACGGTAAAAAAGTATTTCTATAGTCCATGAAATAATCACAGACTTTAGAAAATTGAGTTCTTATAAAGTGACAAGTAATAAATAATTCAAATAAGAAATGTACACAATTCTTTAAACAGAGAAGTATATTTCATAAAAAATAAAAGAAAAAATTTATATGTTTTTTTAAATTTAAAATTTAAAATTTTATTTCCTTTTCAGTATTAACGAGTTAGTGACCATACATTTATTATGTAAGCCTATTTTCGCTATTTTTTGACCCTCAATGTTCTCCTATTATAAGAAAAAATAAATATACGCATACTCTCAACCATTTTAAATACGTAAGAATACTAAACTACACAAATAAATCAATTGTTTTAAGTAATAATTTGTAGATACGTTAATTTGTACAACTTACAAAGGTGCTAATAGTTTAGTAATAAACTTTGGTTTTAATCGTTCACCTCAAAATCATATATCAAAAAAATCTATATCTACGTAACATTAGGATACCTTACCAAAATGGGTACGCGTATCTCAGTCCTCGCGCGGTTGTCCACGCTTTTTAAAAATATAACTTTAACATTACGCATTTGTGATATTATGAAATTATCAAAACTCCCTCCCACATCCATGCTAAGAATAAATAAGACCTGAAATCTCCCTCCCCCCTTTATTCGTCTAACGTAATAAATGAATGACCTTTAAGTATATTTGAATAAAATATTAAAATTATTTTATATCAGTACATTAAGCTACCCTTAAAACTGCGTTCACCAACATCTAACCTTACATCTTTTTTAATATAAAAAAGGTAGAATATTACATAACCTTATATTGACACTTATAAATTCCATTCATTAAATATCTAGTTTCATACTATATAAAGGCAACAATTTAGAATAAAGATATATTTTTCTTGTGAATATAAATCTTAAAATGTCTTCAGTAGTAAGAAGTTTTATTACTTGCCTTTGGTCTCTCGCATTATGATAGCTTAAATTTGCTGCCCGGCCTTTTATAAAGGAGACAGAGATAAGAAGGATTATAAAGAGCAATGGGGATCGACTGCTGATAGCAAGTAATGGGATGTCGTTGAAAAAAACTTCAATATGACAAAGAAATTTATCATAATATTATGCAAACAGTATTCTTGATATAAAATTCATAAATCTTTTTGTTTTTAACATTATTATTAAAACCAAATCACCTCTTTTTTACGTTGGTAATAACTTTTCATAATTTTTTGTGACCATTCATTTTTATTTATTAATGTAGTAGACAATTATGAAAATTATTGTGGATAGTACGAAAATAATGTTTCTTATTAATTGTTATTGAAACTATAATTATCACTATGATTATCTTAATATGAGATCTTTTCATTTCAACTTCTTTCATACGCTTCATCCACTATTTCTATGAACTTCACTCACTTACCATTCTTTGAAATCCATTTTCCGTACAGTGGAAATATCTTAACTAGAAAATCATTACTCACAAGGGAGTAAGAGAAATACATATTTTCTTATATTACCACCATTTTTAAACCGTTGTAAAATATTAATTTCTTACAAAGTCTATTGAGAAAAATCCGTAGCAATATTTTTATCTCTTTTATAAAATCGCTTTCGTCCTTCTTCTTAACAGTCCTGTACTAAACTTTCTACTGATACAGATTGCAAATTTTACAAGTACGCCATATTGGATTTAAGATTATGTTGTTTCTTATTTTTTTTAACACGCCTTTTATATCATTCCCCTATATTGAGACGTCACAAGAAATAACCCATCCGTCATAAAACTCGCTCGACATATTGTGTTGAATTATTCGCATACGTTTTATTCAAAATATATTCGTATTCATATAAAAGAAATATAACAATTAGTTATAAAAAACTGTATTAAATTAAATTACAAATTTAAATCTTCAAGTAGACACATGTTATAAACGTAACGAGTTACATAAGAGGCTGCAATAATCAATTCGCAAACAAAGAACAATTTACATGGACCTACATAAAGTAACGAAACAAAAAACTAAAAATACGACTGCAATAAGCAAACCAAAAAAGACTTGTAAAAAGATTAAATAGAATTAGCCGTCGGAGTCGGATTATATTTTGCTTGCTTCCTTTATGTGGAAGCCTGTGCCTGACCGACTGCTGTTACCCTTGTGTCTATCTTTTTACTTTATGTATTACTAGTCAGCTTTTTTTTTTTTTTTGAAGTATTTTTATTAAGTTATGGCTTTATAGTCTTTCCTTTGTAACTATTCATAACTCGAAATTGAGTTTTAACATAAAATAATTATATACAGTTGTAAATGACTTTTAAATCATTTTACTCTGATTCCACACACGAGAAATTTCAAAGAAAACAAATTTACGATTCCAAAGTGTTGCGCACTAAAGCAATCTTTTTAATATATCCATGGAGAAGAATAAATTTTAAAAAATAACTACGCATTATCTTACACCTTTATACCTACATATTTTTTTATTTAAAAAGCATACTATTCATTTTAGAGACTTCGATGCATGCGAATGTGTTTTTACATTTATAATTAAGTATTTATAGGGCATAATTAAATTTAGATAAAAAATATTATTAAAAAAAAAACGACAAAATTATTTAATAATTTAATTGAAAATATATTTACAAAAGTGTTGAAAGTTTAACAGACTTTGATAGTATTAGATAATAATTTGATCAATTACAATTAGAGATATGCGAAGATTCATAATAACAATTGAAAACTGAGCAATATCACAATCGAGTTTTTAAATATAATTAATAATTTCATAACAATATGTATTAGTTAAGCTTTAAAATATTTAGATAAGTCTTCGTATAACTTAGATCGATTTATAACGAACTCCCATCAAAAGTTACTTCATCATGTTTCTGAAAGTTATTTAACTCTCATGAAATTATTATTATTCATTTACTACATGATAGACATAAAGACATTTTGAAACTTTTATATATGTCGTATTAAAAATACTGAATCATTTTTTAATAATGCGTCTCTTCGAAATATTATGAAGAGAATATTCCAGAAGAAGAAACACACTACGTAAAGATTTTTCATCTCCAAATGTTAGGGGATCAATTTTGAAAGGAAAATCATGAGAAAATTTAGAATAGTTTTCCATAATTTACGCGTATTTTGACTCCAATTTCAACTCCAAGTTCCTAAAGAAATTTCGCTTATGTCTAAGGACACACGACCTTGGCTAGATTGTAAGGAGTGCATGGCCGCAGACCGTGAGCTACAATATTTAGGCCTCTGGAGGGGGGGATGACGTCACGTCCGCTCACACGCAAGCGATGCACACATCCCACAAAGCCGTTCATTGTGTGTACACCAGATAACCTTGAGGAATAGTTAGATTGTGAGTAAAGTCTTACTTATATAAAAGGATTTATGAATAACTTGATCAGTATATTTATTAGGAGCCATATATAAATGTACCCATATCTGTAAGGTGATATAAATAATTAACTGTAAAGTTATGACTTACTTTGTAACATTATCCGGTGGATGGCCAATATAAATATAAGGATCAACGTCTAATGAACTCATGCGTCCATGCGTCGTACCCCTAACGGTATAAGATTCAAGTTTCAACATGGCGTCCTTCTTATATCGCCGCGCCGATATTTTTGACTTAGTATCAACTCTTATTTTACCAGATCGTAACTCTAAAGGGCCATTGCCGGCGTCCCAACGCAATACAGCTCTGTCTTTTACGAACCCGAGCCATAAATAATCTCGAACACCTGAGGCACTTATTAAAGCGCCCTTACCGCACACCGCCGATACTTCGGCCCAAATATCGAATCGTTTAGCGGGCAATCTTGTGCGAGCTGTCATCCGAGCATGCCCGTCGAACAATGGCGATGAGTATATTTCGTTTTCGTTTTCCTCGATGTATTCTTCGTATATTGGATAATTTTCTTCAACCTCATTTGTTATGTATTGCTCTTCCTCCGATTCTGTTTCTTCAATAACGGTATCTATTTGAGATGGGTTTTTGTTACAATTACCTTCTCCGGAATTTTCTTTTGAAATAATTGATGAATGTATCTCCTCTGCGAATCAACGAACACATAGATAAAGAGTATATATATATTTTTTAATATAAAGTAGGTACTACAAGTTGTGCGCACTACAAAACTAGCTTATATCTAGCGATAATCAAGTGGTGGTAATATATCGATGCATGATATTTCAGGTTCAGGACTGTCGGGTTTGCCACTATCGCTCGTGTCTACTGAGGCGTCAGTGAAATGGACATTGCTCTGTGATGTACGTTCCGTATTCATGTTGTCTTTTCGGATTTTACGTGACAGGTTCAAGCGTAAATCCGTCGAGCGACTACCTCGCTTCACAGACGGCGTATCTTCAGCACAGGGACCAAACGCTTGTACAACTATGTCCGATTGTGTCCGACACGCATGCGCCCTCGCGTGACAAGCTGATAGATATGTCCGTCCATCACTACCACAAACAGAAGGACCCTCGGTTGTAAAACATTCCTGAGCATTACATTCACAAGTAGCAAGACCGCTACGTATAGCGCAGTAAGCTCCGAAATAACACGTCATACGTTCACAGTCGGTGGCTGGTAGTTGGGTGGATTCCGCTGCAGAAAGAAATATTTAATATATTTCCAAGTTTACTATAGCAATCTAAAGACAGGTTTATTCCATTGTATCAAAGTATACCCACGATCAAAGCATCCATTAGGTCCTAGAGTATGTTCATGGTTGGAACAAACGGTACACTTCTGCCCCTGAATGCCCGGTTTGCAAACACAACGCCCGGTCATCTGTTCACAGTCCTCACGAACTGATCCGAAGGCCGAACACCCACATGCTGAGATAAATTACAATACAGATACGAATTTGTTAAATCTAAACCAAAATCAATATTGTATTTAGAATCAAAATAGGTAATTTGTATCAAAATGTTTGATTAAAACCAATTACTCCAATACAGTCAATTACTACGAATTACATAGTACACGATAAATTAATCCTATTATATTTTAACGACAAACGTCTAAGATTAATATTCGAACCTAATAATTACGTTAAATTATTTTCGATAGTATATTATTAACCGAAAATTATTTTCTCTAATTAATTTCGAATATTACGAGTAGTTTGAATAATATGTCAAAAAAAGTAATATACCTAATAATAAGTAATTATTAAGTGTGAAAGTCTAATTATGTGACGGGAAGTCCAGGATCTAATTTTCACATAATAAAATCGTAATTTACGTTTTTAAAACCCACTTTTATAAACGGTATTGTTTTGTCTTGTAAAAACTATTTTTTGAAGTCGATACTCAATTTAAAACAGGTAGACCGTACTTAACATTTTATTCCATAAACGAAATAAATTCTACAGAATCGAGTACATATTTATTCTCTTGTTTTTTGTGACTGTAATTTTACATTAACTATTATCAACGGGAAGGGAAGATGAAATAATACATTTTACTCTAATCTTCCCGCGATCTGATGGCAATTTCTGCAACGTAAAAACTTATATTTTCATATAGTAACAAAATAATGCATGTCAATATACTCACGTATACAGCCAGTATGTCCAGTACCGATCCGTGGTAATCCCCAATAGCCTGGTTCGCATCTGTCACACTTGTGCCCTCCTACACCAGGTCTACATTGACACTGACCGCTCTCATCACACATTTCCGACACAGAGCCCAGTCTATGACAACCACACTGTGAAGGGCAACCCGCCCCCCCGGGACCACGAGCTGACGTCACTCCATCCCCACAACAGCCGTACCAAGATTCTTGACAGTCTTTCTTCTCTGCGACAGCTTTGTCTATATTTTATATAATACACTCAAAAAAATTCTAAAGGGCCGTTCAAGTATTACGTAAGCACTATGGAGGGGCTTAGCTTGGCTTATTTTGGATGACATGGGAGGTAGTGGAATCTAGATGATGATTACGTCATCGGTAGTTGTTTACTTTATAATCGTCACATCGAGAAGATCCATAAAAAAATACAATTATAATATTTTTCTGGATTTATATTAAAAAAAACAATACAGTAATTGAAAATGTTTACGTAAGCATGGGGGTAGGGGGTAAGAGCTTTGTTTACTTTTGCTGACAATGGAGATGGGGGGGGGTAAATAATTGTGGTAAATCTGCTTACGTAATACTTGAACGGCCCCTAAGTAATAACAAATTTACTTGTTTCTAATAGATCTATACACAGTTTTCATAGAATTTCATAAATAAACCAACATCAAGATGCGTATAAAAACATTGTAGACAATGTTATTACAAATTCGTCTCTGGCTGTCTTAAAGTAAACCTACTACAAATTCAATAATAAACAATTAAACGCTTTTGATAACGCTAGACGTAGGTTGAATTAATCATACAACAACAATACAAAGTTAACGCTCTCACGACCACCTCACCCACACACGACTATCTAAAACTATTTGCTTTAAGTTTATAGAACATTTATAACTTCTGGATATCAAACTACCTCTTATTGTTATTGTTAATAATATTTCACGTTACTTTTTTCTTATTTATTAATAATATTTACCTATATATGGTATAGTTTCAGCCAGTCCTATATACAGGGTGACTGGTGAATTACTATCAATATTTAAGGAGAATACTCGGTACATGATTCTCATTCGAATTATGTAAAAAAAATAGGCACTTAATTTTTGACAAAATTTCCGTATAAATAAATAAAGTGTTGACACGTTCCAAGTGTTCCAAGTGTGGACGCGTGCGGCGGCGTGCTGATACAACACCACGCCTCGCTCGCGTATGTGTGAGTGTGAGTGTATACCTAATCTGTAGGGTGTTCACACGATGCGTAATTAATTACATAACTTTTGGTTAACTTTACTTAGAAGTTTATTAATATTTATGTTATATTAATTTTTATTTTGTCATATATGATCGTCAAATATCACGTCCTCAAGTATCGATAGTAATTCACCAGTAACCCTGTATAGTATAGTTTTAAGTGTCCTCAATATCTGATTACCTTTCCTACAACATCTTGCAGCCTTAGCAGTATTATGGCAGTAGCTATCCGTCGGACAGTCTTTGCGATGAGGTCCACCGCCACAATCAACTGGAAGACCTTCTGAATCTGTCACGGTTTCATCGTCGCCACATGGTCTGAACTATAAATACATTTATCTTAAAAAACTATTTTCTTCTGCCTTTTTCAAGAATTTAAATTATAGCTAAGTTAACGTGCAATCAAGTATAAAGTATGTATCAATATTTATAGTCACAGTAAAATTTTCATATATTTTTTTGTATTTTGAAATCGCTACAAACGTTAGTGCTGCCAAAGCGGCAGAAAATAATGATTTGCAGGGATATTATATAAAAACAAAAAAGTTTAATTCGTCTTTTCAATGACGTATAGTAAGATACCTCGAGGCCCCTACACAATGCCAATGGCCTCAATCGTAGGTCCTCTTGTCGGCGACAAGACTCCAGTTTCATATGACACAGCGTGGGATACATTCGTAAATCAGAGGCACAGACAGGCGCTGAGGAAGAAGCTGCTGCAGCAGCGCAGTCAAACAGACATGCACAACGAGGCTGGCCGTTACCTGATGGCAAAATTATATACTGCATTTGAAAAAATCAATCCATAAGTACAATAGATATGCTCTACTCAATTCTGCTACTCTCTTAACTGATAGATATTTTTTGGAATAGAAATACTTGCAGTACTTTCGAAATCGTGACATGTCCAAAGTTACTTTATTCAACCAAATCCAATAAATGGAATATTATTTACAAAAGAAGTAAAGAAATATAAGATCGATTTAAAAGTAACAATAAAAATGAGAGATATAATTATATGATGTAATCCGGTAGATATTTACATAAAACATGGCTAAAAGGGGATTTACCAATTAATAAGAAATATATTCGGTCAATATTACTTCTAAAATTTTAAAACAAACAAGTGTTTTTTACATATTATATTTGAATAGTACGTTACCGTCCACAGCGCAGGTCGCTTCGTAGGCGCATTGTACTCTAGCACAAACGGCTGTACCAACAGATGGTTCACTGGTACTATCAACCTCCACACCATTCCGTATCTCATTACTTTGTTCCATTTTAGCTGATACATTAACCCCTGCAACTTAAACTTGTTATAACTGTAGTTTACATTAGATGATAGTATCTAAATATCTGATCTTATAAATGAACCCATAAATTTGAAATGTCAATATAAAAAAAAATCTTCAAGTCCTAACTAGATTGATTTGCATCAATAATATAATGTAATGTCCAATTTTCTTACTATATTTTCAGAATACAAATTTTTCAGCCAAAATTTAAAAAAATGTAACTAAATTACCTGAGCTATTATCGTTATTAGCATCAGTACAGTCCCCATAATAAGCGACCTGCGGAGGAGTTTCCCCGCGGGCTCGCGCCTCGCACGCAGCTTTATGTAATGAACACTCGTTGGGGAAAGTTCGCCTCGTGTCAGAACAAACGGTCTCTCTTGGAACATCAACACAACTTGCACAAGCACACGTGCCTCGAGAACACCACATACCTAGCGGGCATTCGACATTGCCGCAAGATTCTGAGAGCAATTAAAAAACATATAAGCATAATTATAATTGAAATATTTCAAAAGTAATCGCTTCTTTCATTATACTTAAGCAAAACATATACCTACCACAAGAACCCATATGTTTAACGTGAAGTCTTCTGTTTTCACGGCACGCTATATTACGGAGTGCACAAACGCTGCTATAAGTTTTGTTGTCATTACCGCAAACTTCTTCAGTTTCCTACAATAATTCCCGATTAATATATTATATTCGTTCGATTAATTTATTTTTCAAACATATAATATTATTACTTACAGTTCCTTCTTCACAATGTTTTGGACAGACGCAGCTAGCTTCAGAAACACCGTCACTCTCGCAAACGGCATAAAATTCACACTTTTTATTTTCACATCCATCTAAAATAATAAAAAACACAGTCAATTTTAGTGAATAAAAAATAAATAAAGATCATACAATAAAAAAAAATTCTTTCTTTCTTCTTTTTCTTTTTTTCTAAAAAGCAACTTACTGCAAGGTCCATCATACAAAACTTGAACGTGACGACGATGTCTACAGGATTCTAACTGTAGCTTGCATCTGTTGCCGTAGGAAATACCATCAGAACCACACACGGGAGCAAATTCATTAGAACATTTTGGACATCGACAAACGCCTCGACCTCCTGATGAAACACATTCACCACCGTGAGGGCATACCCGCCCAGCACAAACACCGTTGGAACCTGAAAAAATAATTGAATAAGCCTTAATTTAACATAAAGATATAGCAATAACTCAAGACAAAAAAGATAGACATTAATTTAAATAAGAAACTAAAACTCATTTTTAACATAACCAGTCTGTTGTTTTTTTTTCACTTTGTTAACCATTTTTTTCGGTTTATTCTATAAATTTATATACAGTAAAAGAACAATAAAACAAATCGTCACATGACAGTCTTTGGAAGAAAATTGTAACTCTTAGAAGATAACCAAAGATTATATCCAAGACATCCAAAGAAACGTAGTAAATTATCTTTAATTAAGATAACATGAAGAATCTTCGCGCTTAAGGAGTCTGCCCACTGCACCGTATCATACCATGACTGTGCTATGAACGTATCAAGCACGGAAGGTAATACTATTTTTAGTAGGAATAATACTAGGAAGAATATTTTATAATAAGTAATACTAGGCAGAATATTTTTTTGCCTGATACGTTCCGATTACGGTCATGGTATGATACGGTGTAGTGGGCAGACTCCTTTATTTATTCAACTAGCTAGGTAACCCACCGCAGGCTCCCGCGTGAACGGCCTTCAACTCTCGTCCTAACAAACATCCAGCACGTCGAAGTTCACACTCGCTGTCATGGGTCCTTGCATCAGAGCCGCAGACGGGACGCAGAACTTGTTCACAGGGAGGAGGACAGGCACAAACCGCGCCACTACCCTCCACGCGACATTCCGCGCCGTGACGACACTCCACTTCCGCACATGGATTTACACCTGACATTTAAAATATTTACTATGGATTCATCGTTTCAGATATTAAGCCAAGGATAACGGTCATAATAAATCTCATTATCTAATGGAAATCCAACGGTATAAATTATTGCTTTAATAATTCTCATAACTATAAAATTGCTTGGTTACCTGAAATACATTGTCCTTTGAAAATAATCTTTAATTGTTTTCTAGCTCGACATGACTCTCTATGCATTTGACACTCGTTCGAATAAGTCTTTCCATCGGACGCACATACAGGGGAGAATTCTAAAGGACAAGGTTCTGCGCAGCGACAGGAAGGTTGGCGTTGGTCATCCAATTGGCAAACTTCAGGATCTGGACAGGAAACGCCGGCGCAGGGGTCTGGAATTTTTATTAAAAATTTTCATGTTCTATCTTCTACATCTAAATTGAAAAACTAACAAATTTAAATTTACTTACCACATTTGCCATGGTATTTAAAAGTTATGTTAGTGTTGCTCTCGCAAGCAGCTCTTCGCATTTCACATGTTCCGGGATAATCTTTAGCGTCGCTAGCACATAAGGGGCGTGAACCTTCGTGATCCCCATAACTTGGACAAGATGTTGGACATTCACAACTGTAACTCTTTCCGTCTGCAGTAGGGCGACACAGCTCTCCTGGGCCGCACGTCACGCCGCGACACGGATTCGTCACGTCTGCCACAATAGTATATCAATTAGCTGCAACAATGAAATTTAATATGCGATACGACAATAAACAGTTTTAATACTGACAACCCTTGTAAAATAAAGTTAGCAACTGATATTTTCGAACCATCATGCAATAGGAGGAATTTGTATATAAGTATTTCAGTAAAATTTACCATTCGGAAAAATATAGCATCCTAATATATTAGGGACAATTAATAAAATCGCATTCGGTGAAGTTAACATGGTCACTCTGGCAACTCTGCAATTTACCGTTACTCATTATCCATTCGCAAAGATGTTGAGAACCTAAAAAATAAAATAATTTTTATCGAATAATGCATAGGGATAATTTGTTTTTTCAGTTTACCATATTTTCTTAAAATAACACTGTAATATTTATAAAGTGTACTGGATACATTTGATGCATTATCATTATTGATATAAGAAACAAGTCGATTTTGATTCGTATAGGTTAAGCTAATGTAATATAACAAGTAATCGCAACAGTTTCATATAAATAATGATTTTACCATAAAGCAAAATACATAACTGATCACTTTAAACAATTAGACCGTTTAATACAGTTTTAATCAATATATTACAAGCAACTGGGGCTAATGCAATTAACTAATAATATTACTTATTTACTTACCAATGAATAATAATCAAATTCGTTTTCAATAACGTATTATACAAAATGTCACTCCAAAGTTTTGGGTTATTGTTTTTGTATTCGTATAAATTTGTCCCCGTCTACTTTATATAGGTTCTAAATATTCACTGGCATGAATTAACTCAGCTGAAGAGTAAAATCAGAAACCTTTAGACTGCTGGCGACGGACATGCGCAGCTGTTCCCAGAGCATTCATTGAACAGTATTGTAAAAAATATACTATACAAATATTATGTATAGCACGTTATCATAATGGAAAGTGCTATAATCAATAGGTCCCAGGACTTTTTAGATCATAATGTATCAGTATCACAAACCTTAATTTCTAACATATGAAATATAAATCTTACGTAATTTTTAAGCAGACATTAGGTACTTCTGTCTAAATGTTTTTCAATACAGAAAACTCTTTATATGTCGCTTCCGTAGATTGTATACAAAACTGTGGCATAACATCACGCAAATTCCTATTTATGACTAAAATAATATTTTTCATTAAGAAAAAAGTAAGCAAGGTATCTTCCAATTCCGTTGCTTTGGTAAATTGCATTTCTATATATGAACATTTAAAAGACCAGTAATAATCATTTCGATGGTTAAAATACATACATCCTTTAAAAAACAACACATTTTGAAGGCAATTTACATCATCATTATATATGGGGGATTCCAATTTCTCATTCATAAATCTTTGCACATGACAGTATCACAGGCGGTTTACGAATGAAAAACAAGGAACGCTTCGTATGCAGTGTGACTACCAAATTTGTGATAAGAATACTTATTTATTGAGAGTCGATCATGTATTCAAATACTGAAAAAAAATCTTATAGCTATATCGTTTTCTATAGCTACAAAAGCACAATTACTTATGGAAGAATTGTAACCTAGCATATTTTCAGGAATTATAATTTTTCATCTCAAATTATTCTATCTGTAGGTTTTTAACGACTCCATTGTGCTGGCGACAACTATCCTCATTTTGTTCTTAAAAATATTAATATGACCATCATATTAAAGGACAATAATATGGTAGAAAGTGATTTTAAGATATGTGTTGAGCATATACCATAAAGAACTGGTCAATATTCATCACTGCGGAAGTCATATCGATCGGCATTAACAAAGTCCACTCATATGGGTTTACCTGTTAATAATTTTAAGTATCCAGATTAAATACACATTTAGATTTTTAAGCCAGTAAGCACACGCCACTCAGTGAATTATCACACTACATATAAATTTCCCCATCTTTCATTCAATAAAAAACATCTTCTGCAGATTTATAAACCAAAACGGTCTTAGCTCTTCATTTGTATGAGGATGACAACTTAATAGAAGGTCATATGAAAAAATTAACATTTTATCTGAGTGAAACTAGCCCATGGATTTTCAGAGGAAAAAAGTATGCTTCAGTCCACGTTGTCTTGTTGTCTTTAGAAAATAATTAATTATATCTATAAAGTGTCATTCTGTAAATACTTCGTGTTTTTGATCCAGGTAATCAACTTAATACTAAATTAAATAAATGGAAGGCAACTTTAATAATATGTTTATTATCATTGTGTACACCATTTAGGTGTTTTCACTCGTATTACACTCAATTGTATGTAACAGAGAATAAGACTTTACATAATATGTATAAAAATAGGACTGTATGAGTCCTACCAGGACTCCAAATGCATGTATAATGAGAAAGGAAATACATATCAACTCTTTCCAGTTCACTGCTAAAATGCAATGACAATTTATGTGCTCTTCAAGCTATACACATTGTTTCGGATTGCACATGATTTCAATATTTATGCATATCTATTAATAGCTTATTTTTGTACAATATCTTAATACAATGAATTACGCATATATAAAATTATTACATACGCATACATTATATTAATATCACCTGTGTCAGTGTCAAATTAATTATCTCGTTTCATGCACATAATAAATAGGAAATTAAGAAATAGTAGATTGAAAGACTATTTTATATTTACCGGTAAAATTGGCAACAAAATTGAAACAATATAAAAAAAATAATGTTATTTGTCTAAAATCTGTACATTAACAAATAATCGACTCGGAAATAAATAAATTTTACTATACAGTCTCACTTATAAAAACACAGTCATAATATTAATCAATGTCTCAATAGTAATTGATGATGCGCTTCGCTTATCACATAGATAAAAACCACAGCACTATTTGTCACTTACACTTTACAGTTTACAGTATACGGCTAAATCGGTGTCCACGGAAAGAGATCTCTATGGCTATTTACACATTTATAAAAATCTATAACTATATTTACAGAAGGTACTTCTCAGCCGATAACATAAGCCAGCTAGGAGGATATAGCTATGTTGGAGGCGCACGTCGGTCGTAATCTCTTCGGTAAACCTCGCGTTCATACTCGCGGTCCTCGTACGGGTACTCAGGCTGGGCGTACCCGCGCCAGTCGTCAGAGTAAGCACGCACTGGCGGGAAGCCCATACCACTAGCCATCGCCGCGCCCTCATAGTAACCACTGTATGGTCCTCCCATAGCCGCGTAACCTCCGAACCTATCGATAGACATTATAAATCAAAACGGTCGGTAAACAGTTAACAAATAATAAGAAAACAAAATACCGTCTCTTGTCGTGTGATCGTGAATTGCGATCGCCTCCACGATACTGCCGCGGGCCAGGGTAGGCTGGCGGCGTCCAGCCGGGGTGCGCGGCGTGTGCGGGATGTGCTGGATGTGCTGCATGCTCGCCGTGGGGGTGGGTCGCATACGGCGGCCTCGCTCGAGGTTGCCCCACGCCTCCACTGTCCCGCCTCGTCCTCGACCGCTCCCTGTCCCGCTCCCGATCCCGGTCCCGGTCTCGCTCCCGGTCCCGCTCCCGGTCGCGATCCCGGTCTCGGTCTCGATCTCGCTCCCGATCCCGCTCTCGGTCCCGCTCCGTCCGGCTCCGTTCTCTGTACATCAAATTGTCCCTCTTCACGCTTTCATCCCTATCTCTGCGATCCTTGTGCTTGTGTTTATGTCTGCAGGTAATGAAGAAGCGAGATGGTGATGAACGGGGGAGGTTAGCGATGAGATTAGTTACGAACACAAAAGATGTTAGGCAAATGAAATATAAGAAGCGCCTATCTAATGAATGATCTTAGTGGTGTTATGCACATATCCCAGTCACGTGATGATTTCTCAATACTATTTACCTCTCATGACGTTTATTTTCAGTTGGCTCGGGATCGCATTCCCCCTCTTCGAGTTTCCTCTTAACTCCCGACACATGAGGTGCTTTTTCATTGTTCTTGTCTACTTTATCCTTCTCAAGTCTAGGCCTTTTATCTCTACGGTCACTATCGTTTTGCTTCACATCCTTTTTATGAGGCTTGACGTGATTATTTGTACTATTTACATTGTTCTTCAAATTGGACTAGAAACATTAAAATGTTAGTAACGTAGACTATATACATTTAAGAAAATCCCTTGAACAAATTTAGTAGAACATACCTTATTTTCTTTGTGTTTACTGTCTTTCTTTCCATCAGTTTTCTTAAGGCCATACTTATACAACCTGTACAACTGCTTAGCGTCAAAATTGGTAAATTTAGATACAAAATACCAGAGATTACTCCTCCATTCAACTTTCTTTTCTGGGTCTGGATATTCAGATAAACATATATCTATTTGGTTTCCTATTTGTGTGAGGCAAGCCCTTGTTCGCGACAATTGTTCTGTGTCTGATAATGTGTGGTCAGGATTATCTAATGCACGAAGTGCCTTTTTAACTGGTCTCATTTTCTCTTTACACTGAAAATAAAGACAATATAAAATTATACTTTTGTTTAATGAGATCTAAGATTTTCGCGAGTACTCATTTAAATGAAACTAATATTTTCGGATTTTACTTCGCGTTTTGTTTTTGATTAGAAAGTTTCATTTATACTTTTGTTCTTAAAGATTTAAGGGAAATAGTTCTTCGATATTTACCTCCTCAAATACCGAAGGGTCAAGGTCACCTAGGACTTCTAAAGCTCTGGGTTCATTATTTGCGGTAAAATGCATAGGACCAGCAGGTTTTTTCCGACCTTTAACCTTTTCATTTTTAAGTCGGTCTTTACCATCCTTCTTTGTGCGTTTTCTATCCTTTTCTTTTCGATCATTTGATGTTTCATCATGGGTTAACACCTCTTCTACTTTGGATTTGTTCTGTAAGTGAAAAAAAAAATGTTTAATATTATAATTACAATGTATCAGCTGTATATATGTTTTCCATTGTATAAGGCATATAAAGTTTGTACCTTGTCATTTTTATCATTTTTGGCACTCCTTGTTCTTTTGCTTTCTTCACCAGTACTCGCGTCATCATCCACTATATCTTTTGTAACAGGCTCCTTGGCCCCCTTCTTAACTCTCGGCTTTCTCTGTTTTTGTTTTCCATTTTTCTGGTCTAAAAGCTTTTTGATAAGTTTCAACAAATATTCTGCTCTAGACTGTAAATGCTTCGCTTGCGGCTTTTTATCTTCATTTGTAAGTATTTTATCACAGATTTCAAAAGATGAGTCCATCTTTATAGCTTCCC